GGTAATATGTATATATAATTAATTAGCATAACGGTATTGTGAACATTGGAGACCATTGTCACTGATTGGGTAAATGATATCAATTTTAAAATATCAGTGTTAAATTTTACAGCTGCTCTTCGTGAAAATATTGTTTTATGTACATTGAAACCCTTAGTTGTGTCCTTATAAAAGACCTCTATACAATACACAGTGTGAAGCAACGAGAGGAGATCAGAGCTTGAAGTGAGAGGCATTTCAGTTTTTTTTTATTGGTATCAAATTACATGTTGAACTGGATTATCTCATAAGTTCACATTCCATGGCCATTAGGAGAAAAATATAGATTCTCATTTGGTTCAAATTCTTATAATTCTTGAAGCTATTAAAAAGTTGCACCTGCCACATGATCACTCTTCAGTTAGGAGTGTATTGGAAGAACTTGATTTCGTATATATATAAAAAATAATTAATAGAAAAAACTTCGGCTCCAAGAAAGAAGTTATCACAGGTTTTTTGTTAAAATTTTGTAGCTTCGTTCAGATACTTGAAAGCTTGGTCCGACCATAACCGCAAAGGTACTAAAGTACGTCTTTTATCCTATAAAAAAAAACCTTGTCATGACCTTGCACCTTTCCTACGCCAGCCTCTTTATAGCTAAATCTTTTTTTTATTTTTATTTTTTAAACGCCACACGTCTTGTCTATTTCCTCTTCCTAAACAAACGAAACCAAAATATTGCTTCGCCCCGCTGAGAGGAGTGTCTGCACGCTCTACGTCTCACGCTCACAGGCGACCTTCCTTGAAAGATGCTGCGTCTCCTGCTGACTCCCGCGACGCCGCCAACGGGATGCGGGAAGTTGCAGCGCAGCGACGGTCGCGGATTGGGTCTGTCAGTCATGTGAACGTGACAGACAGGAGTGACACGTTTCCCTTCTTAGAAAACTGCCCTTCCTTGACGAGGTGGATTTATCATAATTGGCCAACGTCTTGCGCTTACTCGAGAATCTTTCGAGGAAATTCGCGAGCGATACACGGGGCTTCGCAATGGCTTGGTCTCTGCCGTAAAATAAATCACAAATAATTGCATAAGGACAGTGATGACTTAGACGTTATATTATTGCGTATCTACTCACTGAGTCATCACGCTGGGCTACTTCACAGGGCGAAAAAGGACACTAGACGAAGGAGATGAGGTTGTCGTACTTGCTTTTACCACAGTGCTTCAGGGGGATACGACCCCCTTAGCATAAGGAGTATAGAGTGCAGTGAAGAAGGAAACCCAAAGAGAGGATGCAGTGAATGAGGAGAACTAGGGCATACTAAAGAGAGGGCTGTCGTAAAGGAAGTCTAAACGACAGAGAGAACTGCCTGAAAGAAGGGGAAAGTGTAAGAGGTCAAAGCAGGTCAAATGGTGGAATGGCTAAATGGAACTTGCGTGTCTTCATATTCGTAAATACTTGGACAAGACTTTTAAGAAGAGCGTCAGTACTCTCTCAAGCCTTTGTTGTATAGAAAGAATGAATCATCTGTGAATAGGGGAGGATATTTTTACATCCTCCCCCTCAAGATATGTCTTTGCATCTTGTGAAAAGATAATAACATTTAAAAAAGAAACACAAAAAATGACATACATCAGTAAAATACAATAACAAAGTGTTTTTGATCATCTTTTCTCGATGAACGTCCCAGCGTAATGTTCAGCATGAATTAAAATATTAACAACTTCACAGCATAAGTCTACTTCTACGACACCCACCATTCATGTATACGTACAATATATACATATACAGTATACAGTTTACTTCTTTCTATGACTATACATCGCTCTACGTTCATCGGTAAACATTTATGAAACATTCAGAGAAATTTCTTTAAAGTGTATAACAAACAGTTTGTCAACATATTTTGGCAACCAACTGTAATTAACTGTCATCGATAACAATCAAACAAGCAATAAGAGGCACTTTTAAACTTAGGGATATTTTATATATATATTTATATATATTTATATATATATATTTACCGGGCGAGCCTATTTTTTTTTTTTTTTTACAACCCCCTGACGGCGCTTGTGTTGGAAAAGAAAATCCAGAAGAGAGAGTTGGAAAACCTGGAAATCCTTCGACAGTTTGAGCAAGCGATTGGAAGCTGAATGAACTCCTTGACTGTTCTTACTCTCGGCGCTGACCTTCGCGAGCTTTTCCGGCGTCAACGGCAACTGATGACTTGAAGGAGGGGGAGAAGGAAGGGAAAGATAAGGGAGGGGGATGGGTGGCGGGTGGAGGAAGGGGTAGAGGGACGGGGATAGGAGAGAGAGGGAAGGGAGGAAAGGGGGAAGGAAAGGATGGAGGAGAGAGAGAGAGAGAGAGAGAGAGAGAGAGAGAGAGAGAGAGAGAGAGAGAGATTATACAGGGAAGATATAAGGATAGTAGGAAAGGAAAAAGAAAGAGTTTAGGGGGAAAGGGAGAGAAGGGGGTCAGAGGTGTAGATGAGAGATGAAAAAAGAAAAGAGAAAAGATTAGAAACGAGAGAGAGAGAGAGAGAAGGACAAGGGTAATATATATACGATCCGCAAGTCACCAAAAATGACAGAAAACATATGTACATTTACGAGAAGAGGGGGAAGGTGGTCAAGAGTTGCTTAGCCTTCGATGAGAAAAGTTAAGAAGTTCTGATTTTTAGCTTGTATACAAATCAGTGAACTTGTCATAATACTGTAGTGTATTGTCTAGTACAAAAATTCATCAAGACTTATTAATCACTCACAGATTCATTGTTTGGATGAGGTCCATAAATTCCAATCGTACCAGATTTTATTGTTATTATTACTATGACTGTAAAAGAAAGTTGTAAAGAACGTTGGTTGTTTTTTGTTTTTCTTCAGATGACTATAGAGATAAATCAACAACTATTTTAGAAATCCATCTTAAAGGGATGCCAGAGGAACCTCAGTTTCTGTAATTACCAAACAGCAAAATATAAAACAACAGGAAATGTTAACTTTGTAAGCCGAAAATAATGTACAAAGCAAAAAGCCTCGACCAGGTATTATGCAAAGACGTCGCTGTAATGGGTCGGAAGAGGCGTATTACTGAACAATAACCATTCTTGTTAACACCTCTGAGTCTACGATCAACCATGCTCTACCAGTTTATGATGAATCCCCATTGAAAACTTTACCTAGGCCATTATATTCTTGTCCGCCTGCCCTCCAGGTGCGGCAGTCTTGTGTAGTTTGTCCTCGCAATGATTCCGTTTTCTTTAAACATCTTCTTTGGGCGGAGCTCCTACTGGACAACAAAGGCCTTCGAGCCCGTCTTCTCGCATGCAGAAGAGTTTCCTTTCGATGTTTGTTACCTGAAAAATAGGTAAGTAAATAAGTGAATCAATGGAGGGATAAATAAACATTAACAATTGATAATCAAACAGCTCTCATTTGATTTTATAATCCGTGGACTGAAACACAGATATTCTTGGTTTTATTCCGTCACAATGAGTGAAGCATCCAGAGGAATTCGAGTATCTTTTTCATTTTCTTTTAAAGCCCGTAATAGACTAACCTTGTGAGGGACGACGGTGTGATACTCTCTCAGTTCCTCCGCCGGGAACCAGGCAGGCTCTTCGTCCTGAATGACGTGGAGGCCGCACAACCTGCAACATTTTAAATTTGTTATTATGGTTCCTCCATTCACGTAAAATACTCCTTTGAAGCGAGTAAACGAGTATGAATAACCCTTGATGAATCACATGGCAAAGACAATTTGTTTCCAAATTCTGAAATATTTCTTTATATTCTTATAGAGAAAGTGGCAGGTCTTAAGGGACTACAGCAACCGTAGAGTCAAAGCATGTGCAATATGGAACCGATGGCTGCAAGAAAAGTACTCAGCAATATTCTCAACGGTGAATGGTACGGCGAATGGAGATAAAGAATAAATATCAAGTGAAGATTGGATGCTTGGTGTAGATTGGCTGCTGATGAGAGGGATACGAATGCCAAATTATTATCTAAAAGTTACGAAGACCAACTTACAGGACACCTAATTGGTTATACAACGGTCGTTACTTGTTTCTTAACCAAGACATACAATAAAAATGGATACTTTTTTACTGTACAATTCAGCAGCACAATCAAATAAATGTTTGTTTGTTTTCAACCTGATATCAAAATTATGACTAGCAATAGAGAATGATGTACAGTATTTTAGGTTATAATACCTAATCTCCGCTGGATTCATAGACTTTATATATATGATGTAACCATAAAGAGCCCGTATCAAAATTCGTATAAAAAAAGTCTTATTCTTTTCCTGAGAAGGTTAATAAGATCTTATGCAGTGTTTAATACCCTCCTTGTATTCACTGTGTTTCTTAAAGAAGAAATCACTCGCATCTTACGTAGATCTACGATTTTCGGGACTGTGTTTGCAAACTTGGAGGCAGAAACAGATGGACATGGACAGAAATGGCAGTAAAATCCAGAACACAAAATCTAAGTAAGGTTCGTAAACAAACGACAGCGAAGTAGCGCTCAGTGCATATTGAACAGATGAATAGATGATTTACACTTACAGCGTGTGTGCATTCCCATATATATGTAGATATTTATATGTATATAATATATATATATATATATATATATATATATATAATATGAATATATATATATATATATATATATATATATATATACTATATATATATATATATATATAATATATATATATAATATATATATATATATATATATATATATATATATATATATATATATATATATACTCGTATATGTATATATATACATACATATATCTAAATGTTTTAAATACAACATAAGATTTTGTCAACTCCTTGAATTCAGTTCTTCATGTAGCTTACCACAATCAAAATACGAAAAGTACGAAACTATCCCATCTCTCCCTCCTTTCCAACCCTTTCTTCTCTCTCTTCCTCCCTCCCTCCCTCCCCCTCCTCAATCTCCTCCTCCCTCCCTCCTCGCTCCCAACCTCCTCTCTCCTCTCCCCTTCCCTCCTAACCTCCTTATCCTCTCTCTCTCCTCCCTCCCCTCCCCTTCCCAACCCTGCCCCTCCTCCTCCCTCCTCCCTCTCCTCAGCCCTTTTCCCTGACCTTGTGAGGGCGATTCCCGGTATCCACAGAGCAGACACGAGGACGAGGACGGCCACCAGCCCCCACGCCCACGCCGGCCACGACTGGAAGGTGACCTCGCCCTCCGTGGCATCCCAGGCCATGTACTTCGAGCCGTTGACCACCTGCAGGAGGAGGGGCGGGAGGTAAAGGGTGTTGGGGTTGATTCGTGGGGCGACAGGTGACTCGGATGGCCTTGAGTCGGGTCTATGCTACTCATTATTGTTTGGTTGTTGATATTGCTATCATTATCGTCACTGATATTATAGTTGTCCATATTATCAATATTGTGACTATTATTATTTGGATTATATCAGGTTTTTATTATTATTGTTATTGTTATTGTTATCATTGGGAATATAATCATTACTATTTTACTGATGAAGTATTGCAGTTATTATTAAGATTATCATTACTGCTGCTATCATTATCATTATCATACTTATTATAATCACTACTGTAATCATTCTTATTCCCCTTATCGTTTACATCATCACCAACACCAAAAGACGACACCAGTATAAATACACGAACGAAGCCTTGCCCACTTCACCCCGCCCGCCGACCCCTCCCCCCCGTCCTCTCACCTGCTTTTATAATGGAAGAGGTGAGGATCGTGAGCATGACCGTGGGCGAGATGTACTTCCAGCACAGCAGCCAGAAGGGGCCAGGGCGTCCTCCTGTCATGAGCTCTATGTCGTCGCTGAATCTGGGATCAAGGGCGTGAGAAAGATCTTCAAGGGATCAAGGGCGTGAGCAGAGTTATTTCAAGAGGGCGTGAGCAGAGATCTTTCAAGGGTCAAGGGCGTGAGCAAAGATCTTTCAAGGGATCAAGGGCGTGAGCAGAGTTATTTTCAAAGGGCGTGAGCAGAGATCTTTCAAGGGATCAAGGGGCGTGAGCAAAGATCTTTCAAATTAAGGATGTTTTATGAAGAGGAAGATGAAATAATGGACAGAAAGGAACTGGTCACCCTGTAGTATCATCCTGTGAGGTCAGGGAGCTGGTTCCTCTACGTGTCCTTAGATATGGGACCAACTTTGACTTTGGTTGAGATGAAAGGAGTGTGCGAGTTAAAGAAGAGGAGGAAAGGGAAGAGAGAGAGAGAGAGAGAGAGAGAGAGAGAGAGAGAGAGAGAGAAGAGAGAGAACGACACAGGTGGACAGAAAGAGACAGAGACAGACAGACCAAGAAAGAGACAGAGACAAACAGAAAGAGAAAGCAAGAAATAGGCAGAGTCAGAGAAAGACAGATAGAAATAACAACATATAAACATCGCTAACGGAATAAGGGACATGGAAGCCGTACCTCCTGAGGCCATATATATACGAAACGGAGACACACTCGAAGAAGGCGACGATCAGCAGCGGAATGTTCCCGGAGAAGTCGTCGAAGAGAATGAACACGTAGTTCCCTGCGCCGTGAGCGAAGACCATGCTGATCACGCAGCAGACGCCGCAGCAGATGCCTGAAGGAGGAAGAATGTGCATTATGCTGTTTAGTAGATTTGTGCTAGTGTAGAATGTGTAGGTTTCCGTTTAGTGAATAATTCGTCTAGTTCTACAAGGGTGTTCTTCCCTTAACCCCTGAAACGTGACATACGTATATGTATTTACCTTTATTAATTTATTATTTCCGTCATACTCAGATGAAATACATTTCCCCGTCCTCTAGAATCAAGAACCCCATTTACAGACCAATTCACAACGAACAACACATAAAAAAAGAACATAGAACGAGTCATAACACAACGGAGAACAGCCCCGACGCCCTCACCAGTCAGAATCTCCTTCCTGATGTTGGGGAAAACCTTGAGGTCGACAATGGACGTGATCACGCCCTCTAACGTCCCGAACTCGGAGTCGATGCCGAGGGTGAAGAGCATCAGGAAGAAGAGGATGGACCACAGGGGCGCCCAAGGGAACTGGTTGATGGCCTCCGTGAAGACGATGAAGGCCAGGCCCGTGCCCGAGGCGGACTGCGGAAGGGGGGGTCGGAGGTTAGAAGAGGGGGGGGGGAGAGGTACTGGGGGATTTTTTTTTTTTTTTTTTTTTTTTTTTATTGTGTTGTGTTGTGGTTGTTCTCTCTTCTTGCTCTTCTCTCTCTCTTCTCTCTCTCTCTCTCTCTCTCTCTCTCTCTCTCTCTTCTCTCTCTCTTCCTTCTCTCTCTCTCTCCTCTCTCTCTCCTTCTCTCTCCCTCTCTCTCTCTCTCTCTCTCTCTCTTATTTATCTATCTCCCTCTCTCTCTCTCTCTCCTCTATTATCTATTCTCTCTCCATTATCTATCTACCTGTCTATCTATCTATATCTCTTTCTCTTTATCTGTCTATCTCCCTATCCTCCTCTCTCTTCTCTTTCTCTCTCCTCTCTCTCTCTCTCTCTCCTCTGTCTCTCTTGTCTCATCTCTCTCTATCTCTCTCTCTCTGTTCTCTCTGTCTCTGTCTCTCTCTGTCTCTGTCTCTCTCTCTCTCTCTCTCTCTCTCTCTCTCTCTCTCTCTCTCTCTCTCTCTCTCTCTCTCTCTCTCTCTCTCTCTCTCTCTCTCTCTCTCTCCTCTCTCCCCTCTCCCTATCTATCTATCTATCTATCTTCTCCCCCCTCCCCCTTTTCTCTCCACGGACCAGAAAACCTCAATCACATCCACTTACATTCTTCAGAGTCTTCTGCAGGTCGCACTCAGGCAGCTCAGGCATGGGGATGTTGGTGCTGCCGGCGTAGGTGCTGATCAGGTCCCCCGGGGGTATGGGGTCGATGTCGGTGGTGTTGAAGTACTGTATCAAGATCCTCTCCCGTTCTTGGGTGCATTCGTCGAAGGTGATGTTGGCCTTGAAACCTTGTCGGGGAAAGGGAAGTGCCGGTTTGAACGTTGTTGGGTTGAGGCGGTCGGGGTTTATCTTTTGTTACGTGGTGTGGGATTTGTTATGGTTGTTTTATCTGTTCAGTATTTTGTTTTTATTGTTGTTATGTTATTTGCTTTTTTACTTTATGTTCATTTATCTATTCTATGTCGTTTTTATATCTACTTTTTGCATTCTTATTTTCTGATGAAGTAGTTTGTACATTGCGAAATTATCTGCAGTTGATATATTTGATTAAAAGTGGCATTGGTGATTTGGTGTTTAATTTGAATATATATAAAAATCTCTCTCTCTCTCTCTCTCTCTCTCTCTCTCTCTCTCTCTCTCTCTCTCTCTCTCTCTCGTCTCTCTCTCTCTCTCACTCTCTCTCTCTCTCTCTCTCTCCTCTCTCTCTCTCTCTCTCTCTCTTCTCTCTCTCTCTCTCTCTCTCTCTCTCTCTCTCTCTCTCTCTCTCTCTCTCTTTTACTTTCTTTTTGTCTCTCTTACTCTCCCTTTGTCTTTCTGAATCTCTCCCACTCTGAAAATGTGCAAGTATAGAATTACACGTTTTTTTTCTCTTTCTTTCTTTTTTTACTTTCCATCTGTTTATCCTTTTGTTTAGGTATTGTTCTATCTATCTATCTTTATGTTAATCTATTTATCCATCAATATATTTTTTTTAGATCTATATATCCATCTATCTATCTTTTTGCTTATCTGTTCATCCATCTATCTATATCTCTGTTTCTTTTCCCTCTTTCTTCCCCCTTTTCCTTCTCTCTGTCATAAATATCCTTTCGTCTGCCACTCCTATTCCTCTCTCACTCCCTATGTCCCTCTCCCCTCCCTCCCACCCCCTACCCCCCCCTTCCCCCACCACCCGTAGCCCCTCTCCCCTCCCCCACCCACCCCCAACCTCTTTTCCCTCAACCCCTTCCCTCCCCTCCAACATCTAATTTCTTCCCCACCCACTATTCTCTCCTTCTCTATCTATCTTCCCTTTCTTCCCCACCCATATCCCCTTCTCCTCTCTTCCTCACGTCCCTATAGCTATCTTCTCTATCCTTTCCTCTCTATTCTTCTCCTTTCTCTTCTCCATCATCCGATATCCCCTTTCCCCTCTCTTTTTCTTCCTCTGTCCTCTTCTCCTCTCTTCCCTTTCCTTATTCTCCCACCACACCCTGCTCAACCTCCTCACCAAAGAAAAAGGAAGAAAGAAAGAAAGGGAAATAGAAAGAAGAAGAAAAAAGAAAGGGAAAAAGAAAGAAAGAGAAGGAAAATAGAAAAAAAAAAATGGAAAAAAAACAAAAAGGAAGGAAAACAGAAAAAAAGAAAGAGAAAGAAAGGAAAGAAAAGAAAAAGAAAAGAGAAAACTAAGAAAGAAAAAGAAAACAATAGAAAAGGGGGAGAGCACACCCACACCCACCCAGACCACACACCCCCCCCCACCCACCCCACCCACATCCACTCACCCCCAGCCCCAGCCCCCACCCCCACATCCACCCACCCCCACCCCCAACATCACCCCACCCACACCCACACACCAACACCCCACCCACAACCCACCCAACCCCACACCCACACCCACACACACCACGCCCACCCACACACATATATTACCGAGGACTGAGAACACGACGACGGCCGCGAAGATGGCGGTGGTGCAGTTGATGAGCCCGCAGACCACGGCGTCCCGGAAGCAGTTGTTGTGCACGGGGTTGTAGGACGAGAAGGCAATCAGTCCCCCGAAGGCCAGGCCGAGGGAGAAGAAGATCTGTGTCCCCGCCTCCAGCCACACCGTCGGGTCCAGGAGCTTTTCCCACTGGAAGGAAAATGGGGGTTGTTTTAAGAGTTTTTTTTTTTTTTTTTTGAGGGGGGCGAAGGGGTGGGAGTTTGTTGTTGTTGGGAGGAAAAGGGTTGCTATTTTTTTTTTGGGGGGGGGGTTAGAAAGGGGTGGGAGTGTTGTATGAAGGAAAAGGGTTGCGAGGGGCGGGGGGAGGGAGAAAGGGAGAGAAGAGAAGAGAGAGAGAGAGAGAGAGAG